CTATTGATCTTGGATGCCAAATGGTTATTCTGAGGTAAATCTATTGTTACGTGGCATTGTTTACAAGCTTTAAACGTTTTCCGCAGTTTGGAACACTGAATGAGCGATTATGAGACAAGGAAAATACTAAAAAAAAATAAAAAAAGAAGAAAAAGAGTTTATTGTTCTTAACCCAAATCAAACATTTTTTTCTCGTTTTAGGCATAAACCTCACAGAATTACATATGATTTCTCTGAACACAAGACTTCATATCTTATGTTATTTTGCTTTTCAAGTTGGGCTGCACGTTAAATCGCATGCGATATGCACGTTAAATATCGCATGCGATTTATCGTGCAGCCCTATTTTCAAGTAAATTGATCTTCTTTTATGGATACTGGAAAAATACTGAAAATTATTTTTGCAGCACAGCCCATATAACCTTACTTTTCCTAAGTAATACCTTTTTAATACCTAATACTAATACCTTTTTGTATTTTGATTATTCTAGTGTATCACATTCATTGTCTGAAATACAAACAAACAAAAAAATGTAATATAGCAGATCTAAAAACCTGTCAGAGCAAAAGAGCTGTACAATAACATCAGGCAACAATTTCCCTGTAACTCTGCACTACCCTTTAAATCAGGACAATTTTAGAGAAGCATTTTGAAACTGCCCATGTTCCACAGTGGAACCGACTGCCACTGCACATCTTCCTCAATTTTAGGTTTCATTAGATTTCATTTCTCCAGTGAGGAGAGTGAGTCGAGCTGACTGACAAGAAGAGTGAGGTGAGGTGAGACAGACAAGACGATCGCGGATGATTTAGTTTCGAAATGAAATGCGAAAGCGCCTGTTCGGCAGTATTTTGGATTTTGAAAAGCCTGTTGACTTTTTCCGTTTATCTAAGTTGATTTTGGAAGTTTTTTTTTTAAACATGCGTTTCTTATTTAATTGGTTCCACACAATTAAATAAGAAAGTGTTTGTTGATTTTTACTTTATTTAAACTTTGTGTAATTTATTTATTTTATTTGACATCAAGGTGTATGCCGTGCCTCCAAGCTTTCTTATTAGTTTTGCTAATAAACGTTCTACGTTTCTTATTTATTTGGTTAGCCTATAGCCTATATTATAGGCTACATGTTTACTTATTTCCAGTTTTGTATACCTATTTAAACTTTATGCAAGTTATTTGTTATTTTATATTAGGCATAGCCTGCCCTATAACATGGTGTATTTTTATTCGTTTTGTTAATAAAAGTTCTATGTTTTATATATAGGCTAAAGTGAGTTTGACATTGTATTTTGTTGTTGCATTCAAGCAATTGACGCCAAATTGCCGCTAATTCGAATGCGCACGCCGCTTTTAAGCTATTTAAAAGCAAAGGAAAACGAGGAAAAGAGGGAAAATTTAAACGAACTAAAAATGAACAATTGCTTTACGCTGAATTGTTGCTATTTGAAAGTGAAAGTAAAATGCGCACACCGCTTTTAAGCTATTTAAAAGCAAAGGAAAGCGAGGAAAAGCGGGAAAATTTAAACGAACTAATAATGAACAATTGCTTTACGCTGAATTGTCGCTATTTGAAAGTGAAAGTAAAATGCGCACGCCGCTTTTGCAAGCTATTTAAAAGCGAGGAAAAGAGGGAACGCCCCCGCTGTGATACCGGTATTATCTGTATTGTCACACGTCGATTAACCGGTGGGAAAATTTCCTCACCGTCACAACCCTAGTGCTTATGAAAGGTTTGGCTGCTGATAAGCTGTGTGTCAGCTGTTCATTCATAAATCATCTCTAACATAAGACAAGCTTTAGACAAGAACCACTAGATTAAACAGTTAGCGATAAGTATTTTGACTACAAACTAAATACACTGGGGAGAGCAAATGGCATTGAGAGTTAGAGTTATCTGGCATTGATACATAACTCCTGCAGCCAAGAACATGTCTAATGTCACCTCACAAGCTGCTGGTGTGAACAAGTAGAACTGCTCTCATTTTTGAAACGCCTAAACAATGAACCAAAGACTATGGCATCATAAACAATAATAACATTTGGTTTACAAAATGCCCTGGTTAACCCAAGACAATTTACAAGGTGTGTCCTGACAAATTACTAAAAAAGGAAGACTCTACAGAGGAGGAAAACTGATTCACTGACATTGCAAGTTGATTTGACAAAACTTTAAATTTAGAGCATGATTCAGGAAATCAGCCAGTATGATATTACTTAAATTTGAAAATAAATATCAAAATTACCTATTAGTTTTTTGTGTCCATTCTGTAGTAATACTTCCTTAAACAACAACACAATTCAAGCACATTAATTTTTACTGATTTCAAAGCATAATAAAGCAAAACAGGAATGGCCCAGGGGTGAGAAATTCTAGATGAGAATGTAATTAACAGTACAACAATAAAATGAGAATATTTTGAAATATGAGATCAACTAGTGTATAACATACTCATTTTCAGCATATTAAGTTTCAGAGGGAGGCAAAGGCACTTTTACCCATTCCCAGCAAATGCATAAACGAATAAAATGTACAGCCTGATTGTAATACCAGCCACTTTGGATAAAGGCATCAGTCAAATGCATAAATATAAATGTAAAGTTGAGCTCAATGTGCTTTCATTGAGCTCCTTAAAGGGACAATTCACCCCAAAATTAAAATTGTCATCATTTATTCATCATCATATCTTTCCAAACCTGTATAACCGGTATAACGTTCTTTTTCTGTGCAACACAAAAGAAGATATTTTGAAGAATGCTGGGAACAAAACTGACAAAATAAACAGATATGTCTATATATAAATAATTCTTATTTTAAAAATCTTTAAATTATTAAAAAAATTAAAAATCTTATTTTATATTCCACATTAAAAACATCAGTTCTGAAATGACTTGAGGGTGAGAAAATGATGACAGAATTTCATTTTTGAGTAAACTATCCCTTTAAATTGTGCATCAACAAGGGAAGATCACATGAGAATTGTCAGTAATTCCGCAGCATTCTGACTGGCTGATTATCCTGTCAATGTGATAATGCCACCTAAAATGTTCACAAACTATCTGCAAACCAGCCCGAATGGGTCATACTAGTGGAATTGGACAGCCTAACTAATTACATACCCATTTAGATACTTGTGGAAGTGGCGGTTTAAACATGTTCACTTCTATGCCTGAAACCATCGTTAAACCTGAAGTGTTTACAGAGGATTTATCGACTAATGGACTGGTTAATACTAGCAATTATTGATTGCTGTAGTGAAAAGGAAAAATGCATACACATTACACAATGATACTTATGTGAGTTGAGATGAAACAGATTTAGCGACCAATCTGTAATGGATTATTGAAAAATAAAAAATGTAGGGCGGGGACTTGGTTCATTCATTAAATGTTGATTGGATTTTGAGATGTGGGTGTTGCACTTAAAATGGAGGCAGATGCATGTGAGCTTACAGCTAAATCATGTTTAAATATGTTAAAATACAATACATACATGTATGAATTGTTCACAATATGATCAATAATATGCATTTAGAAAACATGCCAACTTTAATAAATACTAGGCCTATGCTAACATACAACAATATAGCATTGGTCTGTTGCCAATAGTAATTGGTGATACCTATACCTTTTACCCTGAAACAGAGCAAACATTAAATAGCACATGAACATGTATGAACTAAAAGTCCCAAACCTTCTCATTTCAAAAGTCTATGAAATGCCAGTTTGAATGAAACATAAGTTATTTTACCACATAATTATAATAATTATATCCATTTCAGGTGGAATTATGAACCATGGCAGTAAAATAACAGTAAAAGTGTCCAATTTTTCTCACTGGTGCCGGAGACTTCTAGACTGGAAATAGCTTCAAGGTAGGTGTCAGTGTTGCCAGATTTTGCTTGAAAAAATTTGCTACCAATTCTGACAAAATAAGCCAAAATACAAGACCCAATTATTCGTGCTTACGAATTTAACATGTGAAGAAATGAAGATCGACTTTGACAGCTCACTCACAGCGGTCATTCAGAGAAATAATGTCATGTAATGACAGAGAAATATCAAATTAAATAACAACATACACACTTTGTATATAGGCTAAACCCTAACATACAAAATTACACCATTGTTTTATGGAAATAACATCATAATAGGGCTGTACAATTAATCGTTCAAAGTCCACTTATGTTATTCTGCATGCTTAAGATGTTTTTTCTTTCTACAGGTTATCTTGAGGGTTTTTCCATTCTTTTAATTTTAGTTTTTGTATAACATTATAATACCATGCATATTTTTACTTTATTTATTTAAAGAAGAAGCCAATGCATTGACATTGACAGTTGACATTTGAGGCTTACTACTATAGAAAGCAATAAAAGCTTTTTAGTTAGAGTGTTTTCATATAAAAATATGGCATGCAGTTTCTTCAAACTGGTATACACATCATTCAATGTAAATTGTGATAATCGTAATTAATAATCGCAATTACAGTTTAAAGGGAATAATCCACCATTGTGATTTTTGTGATAATCGTGCAGCCCTACCTCATAATAAACCACAACAGCCCAATTTTATAAGCGAGTAAAACAATGTAACGCAACGTCGCTAATAATAAGCGGACCTGGCAACACCGGTTGCACTGCTTCATACTAACCGAATTAACCAGCCACCAACAGAGCCTGTATGTCAAGACCTAAAACAGGCGAGCTCTAGCTAACGTGCTTGTCAGTCTTCTGATAAACCTAGTGAGCACTTTATTTACCCCTTGCTCAGTCACATGAAGGACATTGATGTCATTCAAATGGGAGTCTGGAGTCTAAAACGATTCACCATTACGGCGCTGCGCCATATTATTATTATTACAAGGACTGAGGCCTGTCAGAAACGCCATCTCACCGCCTCCTGCTGCCCTTAACCACTAAATAACACGTCGGCCGACCCTCCCTCTCTGTGCCGGGCGTTATAGCCGCTAGTACACGGCCGTGTCAGTCTCTCAGCTCACCTCGGAACCTCAGTTCGTGCTGCGGTTCTAGAAGCAGGACCTGCTCTGGCCTGGCCATCTCCCACTGCGCTTCAAACGCGTCGACTGCTGCGCTGACGTCCGCTGGAACTGACGGCGACGGGCTTAACGGTTGAGGCTGTCGATGAGGACTTCTGTTACATTTATTGAAATAAAAACTCCACAAGGCAGTGGAAATAGCTCAGTGTTACCCGATCCACTAGCGACTGTTGTGATGCAGCAGGAAGAGAGGCTGGCCGTGACGTCACTGCCCCTGCAGTATGCACGGAGTAGTGGCGACTGATGTGAGCAGAAGGGTGTAGGGTGGGGGTGGGGGTAGTCTTTATGGCTCTTCTGTCTTCAACCATGTTATGGAAATGTTATGGTAACTTTGCAGTGGTATATTCACATATGTGCATAATGTATTAACATACCATGACGACTAAAGAAAATGATTCTATTTTGCAGTTTTATAATTAAAAAGTTTGTTTTATTATATTAATATGATATTAGGTTATATATTAAAAAGGTATTAAAACAGTTTTTAATGATAATATAATAAAAAGTTATAATACATAATATTATGAAGACATTTTAAAAGGGCCATTAAAAATAAAATAAATATAAGAATAGAAAATCTAATATAAAAAATAATATTAAATATATTTTTGCATAATTATTTCACATTGATTAACCTTTTATTTAAGATACATGGAATATTTGTACCTCCAAAAAAAATTTGACACGGCAAAATGTTTAAAAAGTAACTAAAAATTGTGAAATTCTTTTTATTATATTATATACTTATAGTATATCATATAGAATTATAATTATATTAATATAATTAAAACATATATAGTTATAATTATATTAATATAATTAAAACACACACAATAATAATAATAATAAGAGGATATTTGTAAAAAATAATTTGCCACTGCAAAAAAGTTTAAAGGTAACAAAATAATAATTATAATAATAATAATAATTCATTACATGTATATAGCGCTTTTCTAGGCACTCAAAGCGCTTTACATTGTCAGGGGGTATCTCCTCATCCACCACCAGTGTGCAGCATCCACCTGGATGATGCGACGGCAGCCATAGTGCACCAGAACGCCCACCACACACCAGCTTATTGGTGGAGAGGAGACAGAGTGATGAAGCCAATCAGTAGATGTGGGGATTGTAAGGAGGCCATGATGATCAGAGGCCAATGGGCAAATTTGGACAGGATGCCTAGGTCACACCTCTACTCTTTTCGAAAGACATCCTGGGAAATAGTGAAATATTTAAAAGAAGTCTTCATGTTATTTGTGAACTACTCAAAACATTTTGGTCATTGGATTTGGACTTGTATGTAGATTTGAGAATTTGTTTTTAGATTTTGCTTAATCATAATGTTAGATTTTCAACTTAGTGTTTTATGCATATGACCGGTGTCGTATGCATAACACACTAAATTGAAAATCTAAGTCTGTTCCTCAAAAGCAGTGAAGTAATCCAACGGAATATCTGGGAATCTAAGAATTAACATGAATGACATAATCCTCAGACAAGTTTCTAGATCACATTGTTGCATCAAGTTGAATTAGGTCAGTTCATTTATGCTCAGCTTGGCAGCTGAACACAAGCTCTTAGAGGGTCGTTTTACTTTCCTCAGCACAATTAAAAGTTCAGCAGTGACCCCCTGCCAAAGGAGACACATACCACAAGTGTCATATTTATATATATAGCCAGTTCAGGAGGAACTTTCACCACTCCAAACTGCAGGCAGACATTTTTTATTTTTAACTAGAATAATTAGTAACTTGTCCCAGGTCATATACAAACCAATAAACCTCAATGTGTATGTTGATTACATAACATAAAAAAAAAAATGAAAAATTTATTTTGTATACTTTTATTACTAATAAAGAGCTCAACATTTCCCTTTTGCACATTCACAAATGAACAAATAAAATGTTATTTTCAAGCCTTCTTTGCATGACAAAATAATAAAAGAGAAAAGCTAAATGGCAAAAACACTTAACGATTAGGTTAAATTACTTTTGTATATACTGATTTACAATGGTAAGTAGTGGTAAAGTATGACATTGCCTGAAAGACTGCATGTCAATTAATTTACACAATTCATCCAATGTGTGGTATATACAAGGATGTAAAGTACATAAGCAGAATTTCACAACTTTCTTAGGGCCAGCCCAAGACTGTTGCCATTGTTCTTCAACCTAAACACCACTGCAAATCACACCAAACGGCATATTATACTGTCTGACTCAAGTGCAGCATGTAGTTCCATTCAAAATCATTAATGCAAAGCCTGTGCTCCCTAGCAAGAGGACAAGCAATTCAGCAAGTCCTTTTCAATTGGCTAAGAAGTCAAGAACTTCAACCGGACTAAATGAGACGTTTGGTCTCACTGTGGATCACAGGCTTTGTACAAGACAAAAAAAGACAGCTACTCTACAACATTTAAAGCTAGTAATGCATTTCCATACATTGTAAAGGCCCTTCAGTAACTCATGACATTAGATGAGCTGTTTCCTTCTCCAATTAGTTTGACATGACAGAAAGAAAATAAAGTTTAAGATTCTGGTTTGAGTGAAAGACACTTTTACTTAGCAGTAAGGTAAATTAGTCATTGGAAGAATCAATTTGAATGTTTTTCTCTGTGTAAACATCAATAGTAACTGCGCAGGGCTGCAATTTTTCAAGCTATTTGAACTAGGGCAAAACACACATGGCAATTTTGAAAAAGTGCAATTTTTCCCCTAAGTATTGTTCCAAGTAATCCATTTAACATGCACTGTCTTCTAAAGGAAAATATTGTTGTGCTAAAATTCACGGATTAACTACAATTACTGTAATAAGTCTATAAATCTCTTTGCTATTATTACTGACAGCACGCATTTTGGAGGGGAAAAGTATTATTATTGCACTTGTGGATTCCTGAAAATAGCATGGCGCATTGGCATCACTGCATATAAAAATCACAGGATAAAGGACGGCAAATGAAACACAAGACTTTGACCATGCCCATAATATTCATTCTGATTCACTAAACACATTCTACGACTCCTAAATGCCAATATAATGTGTCAAAACCATATTTTAAAATTTTAAAACATATACCAAATTTTTAAAGTACCATCATAAGACAAACTACAGAAGCCACATACTAACTTCTAAAAATAACAGAGATGCTGTCACGTGTTATACTGATGTACATTTTAAGTACATTTGATCCTTAAAACTTTGCCATTGTGGGTATGCAGTTATGGAACCATAACATATTTATTCTATATTCACATATATGACAAAATTGTAAAAGTTAATGTTCAATTTTGGTTGAATAAACCTCAATGTAAAATCTACATGATGTATAGAAAAAGAGCCACTTAACCACATGGTCTTGAACGAATAGTGTGTACATTAATCCAAATCTTTTAAATTCTCAGATTGTCAAAAATAAGGTGTTTTTGGCAATTCTTAAGACTTTTTCTCTCAAATTAAGTGAATTTCTTCAACAAAACTGACAGAAAACATTTAGGCTCAAAAATTGAGTGACAGGGAAAAAAAAAAGATTTATTTCATTTGGGGACAATTCAAAGCAAAATATTTGGTATAGCGTAACTACTTTTTTATGTCTTGCTCTTAAACATCTGAACCAAGACTAGTTTCCAGATACGCTCCTTTTTTTATCCCTGTCCAGATAGTAAAAAGCATGTTGGATGTGCAGGCCAAATGTTTTTTAGTGAAAGAATGAGAAAGATGAAAAATGTTTATAAGACAATTAGGGCATTTGGCAAGACCTCACAAAATCACTCAATCCAGTAAAAAATGTCATAAAAAGGAACAGCAAGGGTTCGGAAGAGATCTGCCAACTAACACAAATGGTTAAAATGCAATTTCAGAAAGTATTCGGACATAATGCACACTTCACATAGTTCTGGACAAAAGCCTAAATCGCACCACTTCAATGGACAGAATTCCAGCATTTGGCTCCTTCCCACTAACATTACATTTCCGATATGGAAAACATGTGCACAGTTGGAAAAGTTATCAAATCTAACACTTTGAAACTGCTATTCCTGTCAACATTTTAGAAGACTGGCCAACTTTATCTCAAAAGTGTGAGGGCTGAATTTCTCTAACGCCACAATTATGCACTGTAAGCGGTAACAACGGTCAGACATTTACCAGCAAACATAAAAGTCCATTCTGCTTGTTAATCCAAGGATCTGTAGCTAAGAATCTGGCAACCCAGAATGTAGCTAATTGGAGCAAATACTGTGTTACTAGTTATCTCAACTTGCGAGCTGATTAAATATGCAGAAGGTTTTGTTGGAACTCACACATGCTGCCATCATCATCACTGACCTATTGAACTGCTACTACAAGATGCAACTCCTACTATATCACAAATTTTTTTTTTGGCACATTCTTCATATATAACTTATAAACTCATCTCAAAATAGGGCTGCTAGCCACTGACTTTAGTTTTATTTTTTCATATACAAAATATAGGAAAGACAGAAGTGCACACAGCCTCATGTCTGGTCCTGCGCAACAGAAATAACAACCATATCTTAATATTTATAATAGTAATTTTGTATTTGGGTAAATCTCACAAAAACATGACTCTGTCATTTTAACCTCAAAATCACAAGAAAAAAGGAGAGATAATGAGGTCTACTTTTAGGAGCATTCATATTTTTTATTTTTAAATTATTTTCAGGACAATTAAGCACTTTTACATACTGTATTTCTTTATTTATGATTAATGTAATACAGCTGTATTAATTACTGTTTTACAGTAAAAATAATTTTTAACTGTTACACAATGAAAAAAACATCTTAATAGTCCTAAGAATGGACATTACCTTCACTTTATGCAAAATATAATTTCATATTTTTTTCACTTGATTTGACTCAAATGAAACATGAATATGACAGCTTTCATGAGATTCACCCATTTATATATTTTTTATCATTCTTTTTTTAGCATATACATCAAAAATGTGCAAAAATAGTGAGACAAGAACGCTGTGTTGCTTGCATTTGGAGTGCTGAAAATCTTAAAATGTACAGACAACGGCTTCACTAGGAAACTTCACAGAGTTTTGCAGAGGTTTTTGCACAGAGATGAGAATGAACGAGAGAGAAAGAGAGCAGGACAGGACAGTATCTGATCTGTTAAGCAGGTGTTTCATTGCTGTCTGATTCTAGGTAGTGATCTAGAACAGAAATGGATCCCCAAAGACATTTGAACGGGGGCTGAAGAACAGGCAAGATAAGGTACAACGACTGTGTGAGGGCATTTTCATCTTTTCTCAATGAAGTGCATCAGGATTCAGACTATACATTTAATTTTTAACTGAACTTCTTTTTTGGCTCCAAAAGGAAGTTACGTAACTTCCCCTATGACATCACATTCTTCATCTGCAATTATCCTTGGTTACTAATTGAAAATAAAACAAGAGGCTGGAGAGGATCTGGCCAAATTGTTTACGACTGTGTCAACAGCAAGTGCGTTCCCTGGTCGACTCTGATGGCTGGCGACGAAGTTTGAAGCCCTTGACTGCAGACCCGCCATCCGTGTCTAAAACTGGGATTCTTTGACCTGTAAAGGAAATCAAATATAGATTATAATGAGCACTAAAAAACATGCATGAAAAAAAGCAAAAATGATTTGCTGTTTCAGTGCCAGCACAAAAGTGACAAGCACGGTGTCATGCACCCACAGGTTCCTCAATGGGGCAACTGCCAAGCTCCATGGTAAAAGATCTGTATCCACTGTAACCCATCCACTGCCCTGGGTCCAAGGGGCGAGAACAAGTATCCAACGAAGCACTATTCTCACCACCATCAGGATCAATTACAGATCATGCATTCATTATCATTTTAATAATAGATGGTGTTGCAATAAACTGTATTTATTAAAACTAAACCTGCTTGATTAAGAAGCTCAATCAAAGGAAGACAACATTTAAAATCAAAAGCTCTAAAATAAGTGATTCTGGATTTCTACAGCATTATTGATGACATAACGCACAGATGACTAGTTAGGATTTTACTCACTTATCTGAATAAAGGCCTCATTGATGTTAATGGCATTTTTGGCACTGGTTTCAACAAATATGGCATGAATGGAATCAGCATAGTCCTTGGCGTCCTTCTCTGACACCTCTCTGCATAACAAGAGGACAAAGCAGCAGAGCACTAATAAGTAATCAGATTCATGCATTAACAATTCGGACATGTTTAAAACTCTCAAATAGAGTGGCTTGTTATTGTTATTCTGGATATTTGGAACAACAAGGATTTAATATGTTAGCCAACATTTGTGGGAGATTATCTGAGTGAGCTGAACCTTGAAAAACTCATGTATTTGTTTTTGTGACAGTGGTGTATAACTAGCACACAACAGCATGTTGGAGGGAAACCATTGTGTGCTGGTGCTCTGTGCAACTGTCACCTGATCACAAGTGCTGATCAGATTGCACCCGTGCTACACGTATCAGGCCGGTCACACTGACAACAGATCAATTTTCCATTGACGCTTCGCCCTCTCTTAGATCAACTGCCCAGCTGGTGATGTTTTCTCTAAACATTGCGATTAACTCGATTTTTGATTTTTTGATTTTTTTGGTTTGTGCAAAAGTCCCTGCCACCTTGCCAGGGTGTTGTGGGTGGTTGCCAGGGCAAGATTGTGGTAACTAGGGTGTTGCTATGCGTTCGCTATGGTGTTCTGAATGGTTGTCTACTAGGCCTAAATATATGTTGGGTCCCTCCATGCAAGTTTATGGGATTTGTGCCCACAAAAAAGTTATGCTTTTACTTAATATAATTTTAAATAGTATTCAATTTCTAAGCTGGTGTAATGTTATCAGTAACTGTATTTCCATGATGACAGATTTTTTACATCTGGAGCGAACCTCTTAAAATAGGATCAAAAAAATTTAAAAAAACAATAAAATCAATGTTTAAAAGTGAAAGAAATGATGGCTGCGGATCACTGAGAACAGCACCAGTTGTGCCAGAAAACGGAATATCTAAGCTTTATGTGCCAGACAGAACAATTGCAAGAATTTTCCCTGATATTTATTGCCTGAATGACTTGCGGTGCGGATGCAAGCCATGATTCCTCAGATTCAATGTCTTGGTCTTTATGGTTTCAAAATGTAAAATACAACCGCACTGACAGCAGACTAACACTGCCAAAGAAAGCAATGGTGAACCAAGACACATCATTGGGCCTGTGGGAAGAGTGAAGCAATTTAAAGTGGAAAGATAAATTACAGACCGCTTAAGAGTGGATTTCTTTTTCATCACAAGTTATGGTAACGGTACGTTTGTGAACTTGTTTTCAATGAGTCGAGACAAGTTGACAGCAAATATGCGGGTCTTTTCCCGACGTCAAATTGAGTTGACAGCCACTGCGGGTGCATCCCTTCAAGCTGAATAGAGAGGACAGGATGTGGAGTCTTTTGTGGCAAGGAATGGTGGAATTCACCTGGCATCGGAGAGATCGCATTTGTTGCCAGCGATAGCCACCACTATGTTGGGTGGTCCGTGCTGGCGAAGCTCCTTCACCCAGTTCTTCAACGTCTGGAATGATTCCTGAGTGAAACACAAAGAGATTTTTAAGACAAGCAATGCTGCTACATCATAAGACTTTGAAGTCATTATCTACTGACCCTCATGTTACTCGAACCCTGTGTGATAACATTTCGTCCGTTGAACACAAAAGGAGTTACCTAGCAGACTGTCCAAGCTGCTCTTTTCCATTACTGAACATGAATGCTAACTAGGGGCTGTCAAGCTCCAAAAAACACCATGAAAGTAGTCATATGACTTGTGCATGATATATCAAGTCTTCTAAAGCCATATGATAGCTTTGTGTGGGGAACAGACTGATATTTAACCCACTATTCACTGAAAGCCTAACCTCAACCCATAACTCCTTTAGTGTTCCATGGAGAAAAAAAAAAGATCTTGCGTAGTTCGAGCGACATGAAGTTGAGTAGATGATGACAGAACTTTCATTTTTGGGTGAACTATCCCTTTAATGGCTTTACCAGCAGAAAGATTTGTGTTGTAATAATGAAGAAATATTTCTGTACCTCTTTAGTGATGTCATACACAATGATAGCCGCAGCAGAGCCCCTGTAGTACATGGGAGCCAGGGCACGAAACTAAGAGCGAAACAGATAACATGCAGATGTGAGAATAAAATGATGGCTTGTACTTAAAAAAAAAAAAAAGCAAGACTTAATCATCACTGATAACATCCCAACATCCCTTCTTAGGGGCCGAGTGGGTGATCTCAACCTGCGTATGCTTATTATCAGAGCTTTGAAAGAATTTGTTCGCTTTGGCGGAGGTCTCCTTCAAGTTTCACGCTGAATTAAATGGACAACTGAAACACAAACAAACGCGTGTTATTCCAACTTGTTCCGTTCAAACAGAACTCTAGGCGGTGGTTAGGGAAAACCACGATGAAAAACCCTAGACGTGAGCCACTGCTAAAACCAAAAGGAGAATTGTGTTTCAGACGGCCATGCCAAGGAGGCTTGAGTTGAGGAACTGTATGGAAAGGCGTATCAACACATGTGGGAGCCATCAGGGGAAAGATGAGCGTGACATGTTTGAAGAAGTTAGCGCTTAATCATTATAAAATAGCGTAGTTGGCTTGTTTGACCCGGTCATCAAAAATAGACCAAAAAAGGCTCTGATTAATAAAAACAAGCTGGATCCAATATGCCATTCATTTGAAAAAAAGAGCTAAAAGAGGGGAAAAGTGCATTAGAAAGTGAATGATTAAGAGAGAGACAGGGCAGGGAAAGTAGACATGGCAAGAAACCCTGGCAGGTTTTTTTTTTTTTTTTTACATACTTTCTTAAAGTTGGGGTATGTATCTTTTCAAAAATGCTTTAGAAAACTGAGTCGGGCCGAGTACCAAAACAAACTTGCAGCCAATCAGCAGTAAGGGGCGTGTCTACTCATGATGTGGAGGAGAGAGCGCTCAGTGCACAGGACGGACATTAGCCGAGCCGAGCGACGACAGAAAGATAGAGATGGCTGATAAAAAACAAAAGAGGAAAACATCTGCGGAACAAAAGAAGGCTTACGATAAGGCAAGAAGTATGACCCGCGTAAATTTCGGATCAGCTTTCCAGCGCTGGAGAGAACTCAAGGAGTGGAAGGCCTGCGATCGGACGCCAAGGTTGCTTTGTTTCTTCTTGATAGATAAGTAACACCGTATCTACACCGGTGCCGCATCAGCTAAAGTTTGTCTACACTGGACGCGATAAAGCGACCGTTGAAAATCATTTGAAATTTGTGTCAATGTCATAAATAGAACGCAGCAGCAGTTTTCTGTCGGGGATTTGTCGCGCTGCGCCGCTCGCGTCCGGTATAGACACGGTGTAACATTGGTTTTGCTTTGTTTCACAGAACTAATTGTTGCCTGGGTTGCGTACGTATGTGTGGGGCGGAGCTATCAAAATAGGGGCGAGACCCTTTTGGGGTAGGGGCGTGTTTGTTTTGGTGATTTGAAATATCAACATTGGCTACCAGAAATCACTTACCCCACCTTTAAGTTTAGGTGTGAGATAGTCTTAAAATTAAAAGTTGAAAAATTTTTTTTTAGCCAAATTTACAGTTTGGGCAAATTATTGAGAAAATTAACAGTTATAAGCTGCAAATTGGTGCACAGTAATATATTTGTGCTCATTAACAGAATGTTTTATGAATTGCTATTTTTCATCAATAAAAGTCAATAAAGCAATATGCATAAACATACATAATTTACAAATAATATCCAAAACCAATTGGAACCTAAACCTGTAGTTCTTAACTGGTTTTGCTGATCAATGCATCAGTACTAAGTGAGATCACTTAGGATAATATTTATTAATATCTATTCTACAGATTTATTTGACACCATGCAAAGTTTATTATTTAATTTATGAAAACGCTGTATAAATCCAATATAAATTGTCAGAAACTCTGCTTAATCCATCTTTTTCACCAATAAAATGAATAAATCAAGTTTGACTGACATGGTTTCTCACATTTATAGCTGTTTTTAGCAAAGTCCACTGCATAAGGAAGAGGAAATGCTTCAGTTTAGCTTTTGTCTAAAATTGCAGGATGTTTCCTCAGACATATCCCAGGATTCCAGACTGTGGTCCCTCTCCAACCCTACTCCTGCATTTTCTCTCATCCAACTTCAGTCACTACCTCTTCAAATTTCTCTTGCCATCAAGTCGATTTGTCAGTTTTAAAGACCTCATGAAATCGCTTTCCTAGCTATATGCAATTTTTCTTTTTGGCTATTTTCTTATGAAAATATGTTTTTGAAAAAAGTTTTTTTTAAAAGACGTCTCCTGTGCTCATAAAGGCTGCAACTATTTGACCAAAAATACAGTAAAAACAGTTACATTGTGAAATATTGTTACAATTTAAAACACCTGTTTTCTATTTCAATATATTTTGAAATGTAATTTATTCCTGTGATGCAAAGCTGAATTTTCAGCATCATTACTCCAGTCTTTAGTGTCACATGATCCTTCAGAAATCATTCTAATATACTGATTTACTGCTAAAAAAAATTCTTGATTTCTTATCACTGTTGAAAACAGTTGTGCTCCTTGCGTTTTTCCCATGATTATTCGATGAACAGAAAGTTCAATAAACAGCATTTATTTGATTTGTTTCAACAATGTAAAGTCTTTTCTGTCACTTTTGATCAATTTAATGCACCCACAAAACCACTAAAGCAGAAAGCAAAGAGTACAAAACAAGTCATGTTTCCACAATGCTGTTCTAAAAAGCACTGTGTCGGATAATTGTCTAATCAAGAGCTTGACAGCCAGTGAAAAGCCTGATCACAACTCCCACTGGAGTACAGGAATCTGTCTTCTCTTCACAAAGTCACAACAGAGCTTGAAGTTAGAAAAGAAAGAAGAAAGACACTAAGAGGGAGGAAGGGAGAGAGAGAGAGATTGTGGCTTTGATTGCTATTCTGAAACCGCTATCTCTGACATGGCCTAGCATTTCATCCCATCAGGCTCTGGAGCATCCCGAACAAAGCAAAGCAAAGAAAATCGGACCTCTTTAACCACTCAAAGGCCACGATGATAAACTTGCACCATATTTACCGGTGGGAATACATCAAATCGCTAAACAGGACCAGATGAGGGTAAAGAGGCTGGATAAGTCAGACTTTCCTATATTCTTTCATATGGAGAGGGATTCAAACATTCAAGACCATTACTACTATTTTGCATTTTTCTAATTTAATCAAAAAAATTTTTTTTTATAATATTACCATCAAAACAATTTGAGTGAAAACTGTGAAATAAGGTCATGTCTATCTTTTGTACAAAGGATTTAACATGTCAAGAAACACGATTTTGTTACATTTGACCTAGAAAATAGCACAAAATATTTATTTTTCAGTCGAATTCTGAACTTTTTCTGTGTTTTAAATTCATCACAATTCAAAAACTTTTTTCTATTTTCCTGCTTAACATGTAAAAGTCCCAGATTGTCAATATAGTTTCATAAAAAGAGAGAAGCTATTCCTTGTGGTATTCCTTGAGGTTCCACCTGGTATGATACTATTTTTTTTTCTAGCAGCTTGTGTGGGCCGCTTGGCATTCTAGATTTAGTATCACATAACATCACAGATCATATTGCAAACAGCCTCAAGATTGCCGTCAAATCATGAGCGGTGATAAACATCTCGAACTATGCGATGTCACCCCTACTCTTCAGCTGTCTTGCCTAACGTAGACTGTTTTGGGAGAGAAGAGCATAAAGATATAGAGCGTATAGAGATACACGAAGAAGACCATCCCCCTTCCAATGACATTAACCCCTCTCTCCCTCAAATACTTGCGTGCATACAAGAGAAGCGCATGCAATACTGCCCCCTGTCTGAACTATGAAGACATAGTTCTGCAAAAACAGAAGTGAAACAGAGTAAACATTGTATTTAATGTGGCTGTCAGCTTGTGTATGTGTCACCCCAGTGTGTGTAGTGATTGTTACTGCTTACCCTTTCTTGTCCTGCTGTGTCCCAGATGAGGAATTTGTGAAGCTCATTTTGGTACTGCAAAGTCTTTGTCATAAACGATGCTCTGAAAATAAAATTGGCACGATCAATAACAACATTAAGCATACAAATACAAATAGATCTGCATGGAATCTGAGACATCTGCTGATCTTGTTTATAAAAATTTGCCAGTAAGACTCTCAGCTTTGTTTATTACATTTACATATTTAAATCCAGACTGCCCCCCCCCCCACAATCTTACATACTTATAGACGTCTTTACAAGGTTTACAAGTGTTTTGCCAGGTGCAAATACACACACACAAAAAAAACACAAGACATGTAAGGCTCCATAATAAGGATTGCCTGTTGTTTGTCATTGCCTTACGTTCTTTACATTTGTTGTTTTGCCCCTGCAAGCTTAAAAACTAGGTTTTCTGTTATGTATTGAATGTAGCTGTAAATTATTATGAGAATGAATTTTGTATCTTGCAAGCATTGATTAGAATTGGTATACGAATAACCATATGCCAGTTTTTTTTCTAGCAAAAGTGTTCATGGGATCAGTTGTTGAATAGTAGATGCATAATTTACAGCTATTATTGCAAATTAAAAACCTTACAAACCTAATGCATTAATTTTAATACTTTTCTCTAGCAAACAAAGGTTTAATGAAAAATATAACACAAAGGTATTTTAAATTGTTTTAAATGTTAGTTATTTTAATATTTATTTTAATGTATTATTTTTTATCATTATTTTTTAGCAATATTATCATCTTTTGTTGGGCACAAATCTGAATGACTGGCCTGACTGGGACAGCAGAAAAGTCTTTATTGTTGAGCCCTGAAATGTGTGTCAATTGAATTCCCATTTAAGTAACTCAATTAAAAGGGGTCACAGTTTAAATCTTTAACACACTGTGATGCAACATGTATTATACAATCAATGCTGTATATTAAATCACTTACAAAGCAATGTGAACCTGTATTACATTCACACTTATTAGTACCAACATTGCAGCTAGTGTAACTAGTTCAAGATGCTGATTTACAGATTTTGTTTTCTTAAGATATTGAATCATTAATAATATTATTATTATTAAAACAAATAATCCATCAAGTTTTTTTTTCTTTTGATACAGTGCTTTCTGACACTAATCCTAAGGAAATTTCAACACACGAAGTATCAATTTTGTTTGCTTGCTTCCATTTCACTGCATGTCACCGCTTGCTGTGTTTGCTATGTGGCAATCCTTTAAAAACTGCACGTTAGAAATAAGAAAAACCTGCATTACAGTCTGCTTGACCTCACTGTGAGTGTGTTTTGCAGTAGGCTTACCCAATTGTGGGATTAATA